TGGAGTGCCCCCCCCCCCCCCCTTTAATCGGTTAACCAGTTACACGTATTGTTTAACCGGTTCACCAATTCAGCGGGATTTGCTATCCCTAGCACGGCCACAGTAAGTTTTGGGACCAAGTGGAAGTTCTGTGGCCGTGGGAACGGCAGAAAAGACTCACCCCAAAACATAGGAGAGGGCTCCCCCAGGCCCATTGGAACAACCATCTGGACAAATTGTGTTACCGAATGACAATTGCAAGTTCCGAGTATTTTTCACGCAGATGCCAAATGCCTGGTTTCCCTGCAGGATCCAAGTGTGAAGCTTCAGCTTAAACTGAAGAGCCAGGGGCCATGTGGCAAGGTTTGGATTCAACAGGTCATATCCCCACTTCCTGTCTACCTCCTCTCCTCCCTCTTGCTGACAAGAGAGCCAGGGTGTCCAGGAGCAGGAGAAGACATCTGTGGGAGTCAGAAGAGTGACATGGAACTCAACAAGGAGCGACTGTGGGATAGACGTTTAGGCAAAGCAGTTGGCAGGCCCTCACGAGAGGCAGCAGCCGGGGAACAGGAAAAGAATGTTGGTGGTTCTGAACAATGGCAGGAAGGTCTGACTTGGAACCACGTGTCCTGGGACATGTGCACTGGCAATATCGGTCACCCAATGCCTCACGACAGGGAGGTAGGCACTCCTGACTCCCTTGAACATGCACAGCCACAAGAGGCATGACAGCAGACAAGATGGATTTTCCAGGGAAATCTGCATTTCTTCACCTGGAAGAAAGATGATGGACAGCCACCTCCATGAGAGGTCAAGTTCTGCTCCTAAATCCACAGCTGCCAGGCCCTGGCAGGCTCTACCGCAAAACAGGAGACAGACTGGGTCTATAGTGTGGGGATTCTACAGGGAAACACTCCAAGTCAGCACCCACAACTTAAAATCAATCGGAGAACTCTTTGTACTCTTAGCCCGAGCAGCCCAAGACGCAGCGTGGCAATTCGGCGGTATGGCTATGAATCATGCTATTGATTTTCA